GTGTACAGGTTGCAACAAGCCGTCTCACCCCCCCCCCCCCCCCCCAGCCCCACTCCAGTCTCCATACTTTACACACATACCCCTCCCTGGCTCTCCAGCCGCTCGCCTGCGGTGTCGCCTTGCGCTCGTTGCCGCCAAAAAAGGAAGAAAGCGGCGCCCCCCTCGACGGCCGCCTCTGCCTCGCTGCGTCGCTGGGCGGGCCGACGACCCCTGCTCACACCTCACGCGGGTGAGGAGACGCAACTCACAAGCACAACCCTCTGCCTCGCTGGCGCGGGTCGACACCGCCGCCGCCGTTGTCGCCGCCGTCGGGCGTCGCCCTCGCGGCTGGCCGGGCGGGCTGCGCGCCGCGAGCCGGTGCCGCCGGCGTGGGGAGCGCGATAGACAGAGCGGCCAGAGCACCCCCCCCCCGCACGAACCACGATGGGAGAGCAGGAGAAATAAATAAATAAATAAAACGGACACCTCTCTATACTGTGAGATGGGTAAAAAGGAACAGGTAGAGCAGGAGAGCACACCCGGTGTCAGGTAATAAAATCCGTACAAACGGGTGTGCGTAATATACGTTTGCAAAAGGCGTCGTTGGACTGGAGCGCAGGGCGAGGGGCGAGGCCGAGGCGCGAGGACGCGTCTCGACGTCAGAGCGGGCACACCCCCCCCCCTCCCGCTCCCCCCTCGCTGGCGACTCTGGGCCGGCGCGGGGCCCCCCGGAGGCACCGTGCGCCGCGCCGCAGTGCGGAAACGGGGCTCCGGCTCTATGAGTCTCTATGAGCACCGACTTCCCGAATGATCACGGTTGATCAGAGGGCAGATTTGGAGAGATCTCGAGGAGTACATACAGATAGACCCTCCAACCATCAGAAAACTCCGACCTGATCGGTCGTACTGACCGCCGACAGATCACTCCAGACAGCAGACAGGCCGACGTCTGCACGCGGCCGGCCGGGCGAGAGGCTTGACACGATCCGACCCTGCGACCCTGACGCTGCTGCTCTAGCTATCAGCCATGCACTGCTGACTGCTGCCACAATGTGCGACCTGTGCTGGCCCACTTGGCGGCCTTCCCGGTCAGTGGTGAGGCGCAGTTCAGAGCTGTCGATGGCGCGATGCCGCACTGGTCCCACATTGGTGACACGAGACCACCAAGTTTGCCGGTCCAAGAGAGAGGCGCCGGCGCTGTCCTGAGAAGGTGCGTGGTCCCTCTTGACTGCCCATGCGCGCGAGGCTGTGTAGGCATAGCCTCGAGAGTGCCAGCAGCCAATCCGAGGTGACGCGCATTGCGCCAGAAGCGTGCACGCAGCTGGAAGGACACCTTCCTACTGGCCGTACGATCACGTCATCACTGAATGCTTGATACAAAGGCCGCGAGCTATGCAGGTGATCAATTGTGCATCATGGCACGGTCAGCTGCGCCGACAGGCTGTCGCAAGGCGTGATAGCATGGCCGCAAGTACGCCGAATTCCCATGAAAACAAGTAAAAAATCGCGAAAAAAGAAAAAAAACTCCAAAAAATCGGCGCCTGCGGCGGGCCATGGGACCCCATCTCCCCCCCGCATGGACACCCTCTGGGGCCCCCGCGCCGGCCCAGAGGCTGGCGAGCGGCTGGCGCGGGAGGTCGCAGGTCGCCCTCACAGAACGACGGGTCGAACGACGGGTCGAGCCCCCCCCTCCGCCGGTCGAGGCCGCGGTCGAGAATAATAAACACACAAGAGCATCACTGTCGTCACACACGAGCCCCCACGGCACACCCGGTACGGGTGGCGGGGAGCCACATTATACTCATTAGCGCACTTCACACGCATGGCATGGCTGTGGGGCGCGCGACGCGCTGCAAAACGCGCGCGGCTCCCGAATACCCAAACGACGTCTAGTCCCTGCCTGGACGGCGACCGACCGGCAGCTCGCTACGTCGGCCCGCTACTCGATGATCTCTCCAAAGTCGTCGTCCTCCGGCGCGAGGCGGAGCCCCTGCCGCATCGGGTCGCGGGCAGGCACCCTCGCGGGCGGGCGGGCGAGCTGGACGCCTGCAGAAGGGCTGAGCGAGGGCTGAGCGAGCCCTCTCAGGCAAAGTTCCGGCCGCCCTCGCGGCACGCCTCGCTCGACGGCGCGCTGCACGCCCCGCTGCAGCGCGGCGGCGGTGGGCGCCCCGATCGAAGCCTTGCGAGCGGGCGGCGGCGTGGGCCCGTCCGATGCCGCCGGCGTGCTCGCTGTCGAGAGGGAGGTGTACGAGGTGGAGACCTACCACAAAGACCGGTGCGCAGCGTAGACACACGCGGGCATGGTGGGAGAGCGAGGTGCGCAAGTGCGGAGACCGAAGCGGCGCACGCACTCAGCTGCCGGTAGAGGACGCAGAAGCAGCTGCACGGCACCGGCGCCTCCTCCGAGAGCTCGTCGAGCTGCAGCGCCTATGAATTCGTATCAATCAATTAACTTGTGAATTAGCGCTCGCGACCTTGTCGAGCTGCAGCGCCGTCGAGAGGGGAGCGGAGCCGGCCGCCGCCTGCATCGGCGCCGCCATCACCGCGCTCGCGCCTTCGAGGAAATCCTGAACCTGCGCCACGGGCAAAGCGCAGCCAGGGGGTGAGTACGGCATCGAGCGGTGTGTACTTGGGAGCATCGCGTGCACACCGCCAAACACGCGTCTGTACTCCGGGCCGCTCGTTTGAGTACGCGGTGTGTCACGTTTCCGCATCTACCGCCCCAGACAGGCACCCACGGCTCGAGCGACTCGAGCGACGCGCTCCGGAGTGGCCGCACCGGCGGCCGGCGACCGGTGGCCGGAGGAGGCGGCTGAGGCGGCTGCTGCTGCGGCGGCTGCGGCTGCGGCGGCTGCGGCGGAGGAAGCGGCGGAGACGGCTCTGCGGCTCTGTCGTGTCGGTCGGGCCCCTGCGGCGATCGGTCGCGGCGCTGCTGGCCGAGGAAGCGGGGCGCGCGGTCGCAGAAGGTTGTGACGGCGTGCTCCAGCTTGGAGATCGCCTCCTTCTCGATGAGCGAGTTGAAGCCCGGCACCAGAGCCGAGGTGACGGTGGCGCGAGCGCTGTACGTGCAACTGTTCGAGCCGTCGGGCGCCGCGCTGAACCACTGGCGGCCTTCGACTTTGAGGCGGTGGCCGAAGAAGGGCACCGTCGACGTGAAGTGGATCGGCCGCTCCTCGTCGTTCCTGGCCGGCCACCACTCCTCGCGCAGGACCGGCTGCACCTTCTCGCGAGAGACGAGCCCGCGCAGCCCGCTCGGGATGGGGTCGATGACAAAAACCATGTTGAAGACGCGCACCACCCGCGCCTCGCCTTGGTCGCAGCTTTCCTCCTCGCTCTGCAGCGCAACCGCCTGCCCGTCCTGCTGCGTGGTGAAGTGCATGAAGTCAAAGTCGCGGTGCACACGCAGCGCCTCCTCCGCAGAGAGCTGCACGGTCAGGTCGACTGAGAGCTGGCGCGGCATGGTGAGCGAACCAAGACCCCAACAACGGGACAGATGTCACGGTCAAGACAGTGCTAGCCGCTCGCCGCCGGCCGCTCAACGCGATTTGTTTTTCATTTGAAACACAAAGAAAAAAGCGAATCGACGCCCGCGCCGCGCGGAGGGCGGAGGAGCGCGGAGCGTCCTGCGGCCTCCCATGGGCTCGATCAGCGAGGACGCGGCCATGGCCTCCGGCAGCGAGGACGCGGCCATGGCCTCGAGCAACGCGAGCGGCGGCGTGAACGCCACCGACTGGGCCACGCCACACGTAATCCTCGGCGTCGACATCAACTCGCTGCCCGGCAGCGACGCCGAGCGCGCTTTGGTGTACTTTCTGCTCAACGTGGTAGTCTGCTCCGTCATCCCGATCCCGCTTGCGGGGCCGCTAATCGCCGCCGGCGCTCTCCTCTTCGGCATCGCCGCGGGCATGGCGCTCAACGTCTCCAGCTCTGTGGTGGGCGCCTATGTCGCCCTGCTGCTGACGCGCAGCTTCTGCCGGCCGTGCATGCTCGGCGCGCTCGGCAGCAAGGGCAAGGCGCGCTGGCAGGCGCTCGACGCCGCGCTCACCGCCGACGGCCCCGTGCTCGCGCTGCTGATCCGGCTGTCGCCTCTCTCGCCGATGGTGCTCACAAACGTGCTGCTCTCGCTCACCTCCCTCTCGCAGGCGCGAGGAGCAAGCTAGTCACCCACCGCGAGTGGGCCAGTCTTTCCACACCGATCACTGCGCGCGGTCGGCTTGGGGGTCTGCGCATGGCGCCCGCGAGAGCATGTGACGGCAGTAGCCGCATCAGCAGTCGCATCAGCAGTCGCCTCAGCCACGTGTCCACGGGAACCCGCTGTGAGCGTGTGCGGAAGGGCGGACCTGCCCTGAAGCCCTCCCCCCCTCCTCCGCCCCACCCTCCCTCGCAGCCGCACTACTTGTGGACGACGGCCGTGGGGATCGTGCCTGGCAACCTTCCGTACGCCTACGCGGCCAAGGCAACCACCGCTGCACGGCTGCTCGACGTCCCGGCCATTGACTGACCCGTGAGCGGCCGATCCCAAAGGTGACGGCCGAGCTCGCCGACGCTTCGCACGAGGACCCGCTCATGATCTCGCTCACCGCCGTCGGCGCGCCACCGCCCCGCGCCCCTCTCTCCCCTCTCCCCTCTCTCCTCTCCCCCTCTCCCCGATGACGCTCGCGACAGTCCCCACATGCTCGCCACAGGCCTGCTCGCATCGCTCGCGCTCGCGCTGCGAGTGGCGACGCTCGCGCGGCGCGCCGCTCGCGCCGGCTGGGACAGCGGGGCCATGCTCAAGCGCGGCGCTTCACGCCCTCCCCCTGCCTGGCCAGGCGCGCCCTCGCCAAGCACCGCCTCGACGGCAATCACGCGCGGGGCAGCGGCACGCTGGCCTAGAGACGCCGCATACCCTGTCCGCCAACTAGCGCTCGAGAGGGCACGGCTGTAGCGGTGTTCGGCTGTATTCCGCCGTACTCGCTTGCGCGTACCCCTTGCAGATGCCGTCTTCCCCGCGCTGACTGGTGCGTGTCCATGGCGCAGGCATGCCGGCCGTCGCGGAGGACTGGTGCCCGCCGTCCGACGACGCAGAGGCGATCGAGCTCTCGCCGCTAGACGAGCCGCCGCCAGACAAGCCCGCCGCGCCGGACGGGCTGCGCGCCAGCGTCCAGTCGGACGCGTCGCTCGCTTCGCCGGAGAGGTGACACGTCCCGGACACTTCCGAGACACTTCCCAGACACCGCCTTAGACATTGCCGTTTCAGACTCCATTTCGACTCCGGACACGAGTCTCGTCCACAAGCGTGGAGTGCCTCCGGACTGTGAGAATGTCCCCGACTCCACCAGGCCCCTCGTCCCGCGGCTAGCACCGCCACCGCCACCTTCCAAACCTCCTCCCCTTCTCCAGGACCGAGTCCAAGGCGCTGCTCTTCTCGACCTCCGCGCGCAAGGGCAAGCCGTCGGGCGGAGAGGGCGGCAGCCTCGCCCGCGCGGGGAGCAGAGCCTTCCGCGCGCTCGAGGAGGACGGCGAGGCGGGAGGCGAGGCCGAGGTCGATTTTGGGGAGCTGCCGACGAAGGAGTCGTCGCAGCGGGTGTGACCCGCCGCTTGTACGTCGCGCTGCACACTTGTTCTGAACTCAACCACCATTGTTCAGCCATAGAGACCTCGCATTTTAGGTGTTTATTGCGACCGTGACACGGATCCACGATCCTTTTTATTAGTAAAAAATGATTCGGCCAGCCGCCGGGCGGGGGGGGGCGGCGGCAGCCGGCACCGGCGCGGGCACCACCATCAGGGCGCATGTCGAGCCATCCAGCAGCGCCGAACTGGGAGATCGAGATGTAGCGAGTCGCCTCCCTGGAATTGATCGCCTCCGACTGCGGCGTGTTTTGAAAGAAAGAAAGAAAGAAAGAAAACACACAACCCAAGGGAGGGATGGGAGAACGGCACGCCGCCACCACACAGGGATTTTAAGGAGAGGTGTGTGGTGCGCTAGCCGTCGCCCACCCTAGGGAGTCTGCCTCTTCCTATCTCTCTTCGCAGTCTCTCGCCGCTTCTCGCTGCAACCTTCATGCCACCTCGCGGTCGTCCCACTATCGTCGTTCTCTCTCCCTTGTCATTTCCACCTCTGTCGCGTCGTTCTCTTCTGCCTCGTCCTGTGACGCCGCCGCCTGCCGGTCCCTTGTTCTCGCGGCTTCTTTCGCCTTTCGGCGCAACTCCGTCCTCCTCGCGGCGTATCCTGGCCCCTCAAGTCTATCGAGCTCCCCTCGCGCAAAGGACCACATTTCTGACTCCCACTCCGATCATTTGCCTCCAAGTCATGTTGTTGCTCAGGTCCACTCTCTCTTCGAACACTCGTGCCTCTACGGATGATGCCGGCGCTGGGGTCCCCTTCGGATGCATCGTGACATCTGACAACTGGGATTTCCACTGGTTCGTCCTCCTCGCAGTCATCTTCCCCGTCCTCCTTCCTTCCGCTCGGCTCTTCGCTCGGTACGTTCGGTGTGGCTCACCCTCCATGCCGTTGCCGTTTTGAAAGAAGAACTGCACGTGATTCTTTTTCTAGTTCGGTTTAAAATTCTTTTTCTCGCGATGTCCACCCCGCCGCGCCGCCGCTCGCGCCGCCTCGCCCCCTCCTCCACCGCCGCCCCCTCGCCAGACACACCGCCGCCCACGCGCCTCCTCGACCTCCCCACGGAGCTCCTCGAGCGCGCGCTCTCTCGCTGCGAGAGCCCCCTCGACATCGCTCGCGTCGCGGCCGTCTCGCTGCTCTTTTACGCCTCGCTCGCGGTAGAGGCCATCCGCTTGTGGGCGCAAGAGCGCGGCTTCGAGCTGCCGGCGCAGCCAGAGGACGAGAGCTGCGCCGTGCGGTGGCTGTGCTTCTCGGCCTTCCTGCGCGAGTCCAACCCGCCGGCGAGGGCGGCGGCAGGCCAGTCTCACAGCCTCTTCATCGACAGCGAGGGGCGGCTCTCATCGTGCGGCAGTGTGGGGAACTTCCTAGGCCTCCTCGGCCACGGCGAGGGCATGACGCGGCTCAACACGCCGACCCGCCTCCCGTCGACGCTGGCTGAGCGCGCCGTGAGCGTGGCAGCTAGCGCCGAGCACAGCCTCGCCGTCACCGCCGACGGCGCCGTCTGGAGCTGGGGCGGTGGATTCTTTGGCAGGTTGGGCCACGGCGACCAGCAGGCCCAGTGGCAGCCAAAGAAGGTCGAGGCCTTTGCTGGCCGGCGCGTCGTCGCTGTGTCGGCTGGGGACCGCCACAGCCTCGCGCTCACCGCCGACTCCACCGTCTGGAGCTGGGGTGGTGGAAACGATGGCCAGCTGGGCCACGGCGACCAGCAGCGGCAGCTGCTGCCGAAGAGGGTCGAGGCCTTTGCTGGCCAGTATGTCATCGCTGTGTCGGCTGGAGCATCCCACAGCATGGCAATCACCGCCGACGGCGCCGTCTGGAGTTGGGGCGGTGGATACATTGCCATGTTGGGCTATGGCCTAGGCCATGGCGACCAGCAGCGCCAGCTGCTGCCCAAGAAGGTCGAGGCCCTTGCTGGCCAGCGCGTCGTCGCTGTGTCGACTGGAGCATGGCACAGCCTCGCCATCACTTCCGACGGCGCCGTCTGGAGCTGGGGCTTTGGAGGCGGGGGCCGGCTAGGCCACGGCGACGAGCAGCACCAGTGGCAGCCGGAGAAGGTCGAGGCCTTTGCTGGGCAGCGCATCGTCGCCGTGTCGGCTGGAGGCGGCCACAGCGTCGCCGTTACCACTGACGGCGCTGTCTGGAGCTGGGGCTGTGGAAACGGTGGCCAGCTGGGCCACGGCGACCAGCAGAGCCAGCCGCTGCCGAAGCAGGTCGAGGCCTTTGCTGGCCAGCGCGTCGTCGCTGTGTCGGTGGGAGTGCAGCACAGCCTTGCTGCCACTGACGGCGCTGTCTATGCTTGGGGAAAGGGTGGCACCGCTTGCCTAGGCCACGGAGAGGATTTTTCGGACCAGCTGCTGCCCAAGAAGGTTGAGGCGTGGGCGAGCCGGCCGCCCACGCCTGCTTCCTCTGACGGAGAGGACAACAGCGACGGAGAGGACAGCGATTTGGACGAGTAGGAAGCAAGGCGGGCAGCGGAGGATGAGCGAGTAGTAATGCTCCAGCGCGGTGACTGAGTGAGAGTTCTGACGCGCGGGTTCCTGGATGTACTGACGTTGGTCGGATCGGCTTAGCACGCTGCTCGTGCTCACGTGCGCGCGGCGCGAACCGTGGTGCCACGTGCATCCAGCAAGGCGCGCGATACACTCCAGCGTGGCGCGTGAAGGACGGGATGGTATGTTCCAGCCATGGGTTTGCAGGTCTTGAAGCCAGCCCGCGTGGTGTGTGGCGAGGTGCATGAGCATGCGTGCAGGAGAAGCGCGAGAGCAATGACATGTTTGGACGCATGCCCATAAGAAAGAGAAAACAAACATCAACCCTCAAACCCAAGTGCTCCGCGATTTCTTTTTCTCGCGATGTCTGCCCCGCCGCGCCGCCGCTCGAGCCGCCCCGCCGCCACCGCCTCCGCCGCCGCCCCCTCTCCAGACACGCCGCCGGTGTGTTGGCGCTGTCAGAGAGATTCATACGGGCTGTCGGCCCCGCGAGGCCGTTACGTCGAGCTCAGCCGATCTAGTAGAGGCGGGAGAGGGTGGATACCACGACGGCGAGGTCGACGGACGCCGACTGGATGGGGTTGCGCTGACTCCGTGCTGCAGCTGCTGCGCCATGCGCTTCACAGACGAAGTGGCGGCGCCCACCCACCAGGTGCCGAGAACTGGGCACGAGGCGGTTGCCAAAGCGCCATGCTCGACCGTTCGGACGGGGCCGGGAGCGAAATAGTCCAACGGCAGACGTGAAGGCTCCACCCAATGAGCCACACGGGTGCCTATTCGTGATCAGCAAAGTGTCCACAACTGGGGAGACCGAAACGGTCTGCCCGTTGCATGGCGCGATGCCAGCGATCCGTCTGTGCGTGTATTTGAGGCGTGTAGTTGGAGTGGCCAGCGCCCGTCGGCGGTCGTCCTGCAAGGTCGTCCGCCGAAGAGTGTCTTGGATGACAAGGCTGTTCGGGTAGTGGACCTACACACGATCGACACGGCTCGTCAAGGCGAGGCGGGCACGGGCTGTCAAAGGAGACGGAGCGGCGAGCCGCTGGGTCGGTGCAGGGTGGATTGGGCTGGCCTCCCTTATTCCGACGAAAATCTGGGAGTGAGCGGCTCTTGGCCATGGTGCGATTCCGGTGCGGGGAGGACGGAGTCCGTGGAGGACCAGACGCGATCGAAGCCTCGGCACCGTTGCAGACCGCCCTTGGCACACATGGAGGCTGCTGCTCAGAGTAGAGCGAGTACGGGGTGAGCCGCTCACCCGTCGCCGACCGGCGCGAGAGGGGTGAGCTGGTGCCGAGCTGCTCATCCGTGGCCGAGCCGCGGGAGAGGGACGAGCTGGTGCCGAGCCGCTCATCTGGCGAGAGAGACGAGCTGGTACCCGCCCACTGGCAGCAGGCGGTTGCCAGGGCGCCGATTTCGATCGTTCGCACTGGGCTAGGAGTATACGCGGTGCTTTCCTGCTCAAAGCAGTCGTCTCCCAAGGCGCGAGTGGTGTAAACGGCCGCATCTCGACTCTTTGGCCGCAAGAATGCCCCGGGTGCGGCATGGTGCGGGCTTCGTTCGCCAAGCGCCGCCCGGGTCGCTCCTTCGACCTGGGGTGCTCGGACGTGCGCCAGGTACTGCTCGCTTAGGCTGCCTCGCACTGCGCGGCGCACAGCAAGGCACTGATGAGTGATTGCTCCTCTCGATCGCTTGCAATGTGTACGTGCAATGCTGTTGGTGTCAGGGACTGCGTACATGGCAATCGGTTCTTTGCCGAGAAGAAGGCGTCGTCGCGCCGACGATCATCACACACAGGGTACGCGCAGGGCATTCGTGCGCAGCGTGCGCCACACATGCCCTGGGGCGATGCGAAACAACATCGACGCGACTTCGTTTCGCGCCGAGTGTTGCCATACGGTGTATGCGCTCAAACGATTCACTTCGCCCCGACCCCCATTCTTTTTCGGCCTACAACATAAAGGGGATCGAAGCACAGCGCCAGCCCGTGGCGACCAGAGATGGGCGCTTTTGTGCTATTACGCCATGTCCGCGACAAAATCTCATTGCCCTCAAGGTGGCAGAGCAGTGGCCGTTTCCACCACCTGCAAAAAGCCGCGTGCAATTCAGCGTCGATGGCAAGATGTGCTCCGAGGCCTCGACGAGCTTTCCTTACTGATGTGCGGAATATGCGAGGAGCAAGAAATGAGCGAGACGCAGCTGAAGAGCACCGAGGCAAGCCTGCAGCCGTGGGTCGAGGACGCTCTGACTCGTGAAGCTGCACGCGCGAAAAAACGTGTCGATGAACTCAAACTACACTCCGTGGACGATCGAGGAGGACCGCCTCCTGTTGCGCTTGCAAATGCAGGCTGGGGGACCAGCTGGAGCATCCGAGTCTGCTGCCGCTCCCTCGAGGCCGCTCCATATCGGCAGAGTGTTGCCATCCGTACGCTCTACCTCTAGCTGGACAGCATGCTAGCCTTCCTCTGACTTTCTGTTCCCCGGTGTAGTTCGGTCGTGGTATATCTGTATGACGTATTCGATCCGTATAGTTCTGGCTGAACGAGAACAACGCAGGGCCTCGTCCTCGTGAGCGACGACAGAGAGGAACTTCCTGGTTCGGCACTGCCACTCACTGGCTAGAGGGTAGGTAGGCTAGACTCGGGACCGCCTGGCGATGTGCACACTGCGGGCAACCCAAGGGAGGGATGGGAGGACGGCACGCGGAAAGAGAGAGCGCCCCTGCCGCCATGCGGCAAAAATTATTTTGGGGGATTGATTTCGACGAAGAAGCCAGAGTGGTTTGTGTTGGGCGTCCAGTCGAGGCAGACGACGATCTTCTCTGGCATGGCGTGGCGGCGGAGCGCGGGAGCTTGACCGGGGAGCTTGACCGGGGACTGACCAGTGGAACTTCACAACTTGTATGACCAGGAAGGGCTGTTTGTCGTGGACTCCGAGTCTACTCGCGGCGCGCGATTCGCACTCGCGAGGTCTCTTGGAACAGAGATACGGCGAGGGCGCCCAATATCTATCCCAATGGGCCCTCGAGGGGGTACCCTGGGTGGCGGGGAGGCCTCTACTCGGCAAGACGGCAGAAAAGAAAAATCTATTCGACCGCCCCCCTCAGTCAGTTGGGAAGAGGCACGAGGAGGGCGGCGACCTCGACCGACTATGGAGGACCCGTCGCCAGACGACGCAGGGCAGAAGACGGTGAGGCGGAGCAGACGCGCAGAGCGAGACGAGGGAGGGAGCAGGACTTTGCGGAGATCAGCAGGAGGATGTACGAAGAGATTAGGACCTAGGAGTAGCAGGGACCCGAGGGACCACGTGGAAGACGGCTAGTGCTAGTCCCCCACCGGGAGGACGACCCCGGCTGGTCGCCGACCACACCCACAAAGAACCCTGCACAAAGATCGCAAGGGCGGGGACCTGTTCCTTTTTACCCATCTCACAGTAGAGAGGTGTCCGTTTTTATTTATTTATTTAGTCAGTTGCTACTCCCCGCGGCCTGCGCCCCTCTAGAGTGTCGCCGATCAGCGCGGCGAAGCCTCCGGCCGCTGCATCAGAGCGAGCTGCCACGGCCGACCGGTTCGCCTTGCGGTCGCCGCCTCCACCCCCGCCGCAGTAGCCTCCGCCGCAGCCTCGGCGGTCGCCGCCTCGGCGACAGCCTCAGCCAACACCAGCCTCGTCCTCCGCTGCCTCCGCCGCCACCGCTGCCGCGCCCATGAGGCTCGGCCCCGCCGTGGCGCCGAACCGAACCCTCTCCTCGTGAGAGCGCCGCGAGAAGCCGGAGCTTCCCCTCCTTGTCCATCTGCGCGGGCTTCTCACTGCCCCGGCGCCCACGCCTCGATCTTCTTGGGCAGCAGCTGGTTCGACAGGTCCTCTCCGTGGCCTAGGCAGCCGCATTCGCCCCAGCCCCAGCTCCAGATGGCGCCGTCGGCGGCGCGGGCGATGCTGTGGATGCGTCCAGCCGACAGAGCGACGACGCGCCGGCCAGCAAAGGCCTCGACCTTCTTGGGCAGCCACTGGATCTGCCGATCGCCGTGGCCCAGCTCGCCGTTGGATCCACCGCCCCAGCTCCAGACAGCGCCGTCGGCGGCGAGGGCGAGGCTGTGGAATGCTCCAGCCGACACAGCGATGACGCGCCGGCCAGCCAACGCCTCGACCTTTTTCGGCAGCAGCTGGTTCTGCTGGTCGCCGTGGCCCAACGTGCCAAAGGCTCCACCGCCCCAGCTCCAGAGGGCGCCGTCGGCGGTGATGGCGAGGCTGTGCACGAATCCAGCCGACACAGCGATGGCCCGCTGCCCCGCCAACGCCTCGATCTTCTTCGGCAGCAGCTGGCGCTGCGTGTTGCCGTGGCCCAACCGGCCAGAGACTCCACCGCCCCAGCTCCAGACGGCGCCGTCGGCGGTGACGGCGAGGCTGTGCATGGCTCCAGCCAACATAGCAACGACGCGCTGGCCAGCTAAGGCCTCGATCTTCTTCGGCAGCAGCTGGCGCTGCGTGTTGCCGTGGCCCAACTGGCCAGAGGCTCCACCGCCCCAGCTCCAGACAGCCCCGTCGGCGGTGAGGGCGAGGCTGTGAGCCCCTCCAGCCGACACGGCGACGACGCGCTGGTCAGCAAAGGCCTCGATCTTCTCGGGCTGCCACTGGTGCTGCTCGTCGCCGTGGCCCAGCTGGCCGAACCCTCCATTGCCCCAGCTCCAGACACTGCCGCTGCCGGCGAGGGCGAGGCTGTGCCCGCCTCCCGCCGACACGCTTGCGGCGCGCTCGCCGCCCAGCGGGGAAGGGAGGCGGGTCGGCGTGTTGAGCTGCGTCACGCCATCGCCGTGACCGAGGAGGCCTTGAAATGCCACCTCTTCGTCCTCCTCCCCCTCCTCGCCCTCCAGTTCCGAGCCGCACGACGAGAGCCGCCCCTCGCCGTCGATGAAGACGCTGTGCTGAGAGCCTGCCGCCGCCCTCGCCGGCGGGTTGGACTCGCGCAGCAGCGCAGCGAAGCACAGCCACCGCACGGCGCAGCCCTCGCCCTCCGGCTGCGCCGGCAGCTCGAAGCCGCGCTCTTGCGCCCACAAGCGGATGGCCTCCAGCGCAAGCGAGGCGTGGAAGAGCAGCGAGACGGCCGCGACGCGAGCGATGTCGGCGGGGCCGCAGCGGGAGAGGGCGCGCAAGAGGAGCTCCGTGGGGAGGTCGAGGAGGCGGACGGGCGGCGGCGTGTCTGGCGAGGGAGCGGAGGAGGAGGGGGCGAGGCGGCGCGAGCGGCGCGGCGGGGCAGACATCGCGAGAAAAAGAATTTACTCGTCGGGGGCGTTCTGCAGCTAAGGGGAAACCCGGTACACGGAGCCAACCCTCGGAGACCCGTGTAAACAACATCGACGCGACTTCGTTTCGCGCCGACTGTTGCCATGTATGCGCTCAAACGATTCACTTCGCCCCCATTCTTTTTCGGCCTACAACGAGAAGAAGGACAGGTCCCCACCTGCACGAGATAGATATGTATTCTTTTTAAGGCTGTCTGAGTCTCTAAGTGGGCACGCGCACCTCCGAGAAGCCCAGCGCTCTGTTCGCACGCCCGGCACCATGCCCAAGACCTCTGCGGGCAAGAAGAATGGTGGCAAGCGCCTCGGCGCCTCGTCCACCAACCCTGACCGCGTCGCCTCGTCCAAGTCGGCCGCGTCGGGGCCGTCGCTCCGCTCAAAGGGCACGATCAACCGGCTCAACATGTACCGGAGCAAGGTGAAGCGCAACAAGTCTGGCAAGATCGTCAAGGGTGGACTCGCGGTCGGAGACTCCGTGCAGAACATGACGGCCGCGCGCGTGCAGCCCGACCGCCGCTGGTTTGGCAATACGCGCGTCGTCGGCCAGCAGGAGCTGCAGGACTTCCGCTCGCAGATCGAGTCAACGACGAACGACCCGTACGCGGTGCTGCTGCGGCGGCACAAGCTCCCGATGGGCCTCCTCGCCTCGGGCGGCAAGACCAACAAGGCCGGCCGCGTCGACTTGCTCCGCGCGCAGAGCTTCGGCGACACGTTTGGGCCAAAGGCGCAGCGCAAGCGGCCGCGCCTCTCGGCGCTGCTCGGCCCCGCGGCGGGGGGCGGGGGCGGCGGCAGCTCCGCGGCCGTCGCGGCCGTCGCGGCCGCCTCGAGCGACGCGGCTGAGCTCGACGCCTTCGCCGCCTCCGCCACCGCCCGCGCCGGAGAGTACGACGAGCGGGTCGACTCGAACGTGGAGCGGCACACATCGCTCCCCCTATCTCCCCCTATCTCCCCCTATCTCCCCATAGGTCGACTCGAACGTGGAGCGCGGCGTCGAGCCGGTGGGGCCTCGCAACTACATCTTCGACGCGGGCCAGTCGCGCCGCATCCGCGCAGAGCTCTTCAAAGTGATCGACTCGTCCGACGTCGTCGTCGAGGTGCTCGACGCGCGCGACCCGCTCGGCACGCGCGCGCCGCACGCCGAGGAGTTCCTGCGGCGCGAGGCGAAGCACAAGCACCTCGTCTTCGTGCTGAACAAGTGCGACCTCGTCCCCAGCCGCGTGACGGCGGCCTGGCTCAAGCTGCTCTCGCGCGAAGCGCCGACCGTCGCCTTCCACGCCTCGATCACCAACCCGTTCGGCAAGGGCGCGCTGATCAACTTGCTGCGCCAGTCCGCCAGCCTAGATGCTGCGGAATGAGCGCCCTCCCCTGGCTCCCCGGCTGGCACGAGGCCGTGCCCCCGCCCCTCACCTCCGCTGCCTGCGCGGCGCAGGTTTGCGAAGCTGCACGCCGACAAGAAGCAGATCTCCGTCGGCTTCATCGGCTACCCGAACGTGGGCAAGTCGTCCATCATCAACACCCTCAAGAAGAAGAAGGTGTGCAAGGTGGCGCCCATCCCGGGCGAGACCAAGGTCTGGCAGTACATCACCCTCATGAAGTCGATCTACCTGATTGACTGCCCCGGCACCGTGCAGCCGTCGGGCAACTCGGAGGAGGATGCGGTGCTCAAGGGCGTGGTGCGGATCGAGCAGCTGCGCCACGCGGCCGACTTCGTGGAGGAGGTGCTCCGCCGCGTCAAGCCGGAGTACGTCCGCCGCACCTACGACGTCCAGGCGTGGGACTTTAATTAATTTATTAATCTTTAATTCATTTATTAATCTTTAATTCATTTAATCGTCCAGGCGTGGGACTCGCCCACCGACTTCCTCGAGCAGTACGGCCGCCGGATCGGCAAGCTGCTCAAGGGAGGCGAGCCGGACATCAACGCGGCGGCCAAGCTCGTGCTGCACGACTGGCAGCGCGGCAGGCTGCCCTACTTCACGCTGCCGCCCGACTTTGCGCATCGCGCCGATGCCGCGGCCGAGGAGGGCGCCGCCGCCGCGTCGGCGCTGCCGACGCCGAAGCAGCCGGGCGTGCGCGGTATCGTCACGGCGCACAAGTTCCTTCCGGAGGATGAGGGCGAGGAGGAGGAGGGCGGCGAGGAGGGCGAGGAGGAGGAGGGCGAGGAGGAGAGCGGCGAGGAAAGCGAGGGCGAGGAGAGCGAGGGCGAGGAGGAGGGCGAGGAGGAGGGCGAGGAGGAGAGCGGCGGCGAGGAGGGTGGCGAGGAGAGCGAGGAGGAGGAGCTCGAGGTGCTCGAGACCGCCCCGACCAAGCCGCCGAGCAAGCTGCCGGCCAAGCCGGCCAAGCGCGGCCGCGAAGCGCCAGCCGCCAGCGCTGCAAAGCCAAAGGGCAAAGCGACCGACCGAGGGGCCAGCCGAGGGCGGCTCGGAGGCGGCGGCGGCGTGAGCTGGGACGATGTGTTTGGGAGCTGAGGACACGTGTGGGACCGGAAAGCGGATGATGAGCGCGAGTGGTTGATGGCGTTGACGGCCGGCTCAAAATTTGCCAATTATTCAATCTAACCCTATAAGTCCCACCGCCACCAGTTTCCGACCGTCCCACCGATTCGGTCGTTTGCACCACCAGCTCCGCCCAATGGCCAAGCGACGGCTGAACCCGGACGAGATTCGAGCAGCCGTGGAGGCGGGACCGCCCCCCCACTCAGTCAACTACGAGACCGACAAAAAATGGCATGCCGAGCAGAATCGCTGGCTTGCCAAATGGACCGAACGCCGGCTCCCCCCCGACAGCGGCGACAGCGGGAGCAGCCGGCGGGACCAGTGGCGCGATCGAAAGCAGCAGCATGCACGGCTGCTGCGGGCGGTGGAGAAGGAGCCATCTGCCTCCCTGAAGCGCCAGCGCAAGGCCGCAGCGACACCTGCCGTGACACATAGCGGCCGTGTGCATGAAGAAACATAACGGCCAGAGAAAAGGCAACACGCCGCAGGTCCACACTAGTTTCCACGATATGTTCTTTAACTTTTTCAGCCCCGCCAGGCCCAGCGGGCGCTCGCTAGGGCGCTCGCGCAGGGCGGGCACGGTGATGGGAGAAGGCGCCGCGGCACGGCGGATCCGGCGGCCTCCATCCCTGCCTCGCTCGGGAGCTGCGTCGCGGTCTCGCTGCAGGAGCTGTGGTTGTCCGACAACCAGCTCACCGGCTCCATCCCGGACTCGCTCGGGAGCTGCGTCTCGCTGCAGGAGCTGTGGTTGCACAACAACCAGCTCACCGGCTCCATCCCTGCCTCGCTCGGGAGCGCTGCGTCAAGCTGCAGAGGCTGGGCTTGGAGAACAACCAGCTCACCGGCTCCATCCCGGACTCGCTCGGGAGCTGCGTCTCGCTGCAGGACCTGCGCTTGGAGAACAACCAGCTCACCGGCTCCATCCCGGACTCGCTCGGGAGCTGCGTCTCGCTGCAGGAGCTGGGCTTGAACGACAACCAGCTCACCGGCTCCATCCCGGACTCGCTCGGGAGCTGCGTCTCGCTGCAGGAGCTGGGCTTCAACGACAACCAGCTCACCGGCTCCATCCCTGCCTCGCTCGGGAGCTGTGTTTCGGCCAGAGTCACCGCGAAAGTCACCGGTCTCGGCCCGAGACGCCCCCGCCCCCCGGCGCCCCCCAGAGGTCGCCTGCGGGTGCGCCGCGGTGCGGGCACGTCAGGAGGGCTCCCACGCACCCTTGGAGCCGGTCGGCACTCGACCGTTCGACGCGCACGGCACTCTGGCGCGGCGCGCTGGGTCGGGTCGCCACGCACGGCGGCAGTCACGCGGGCCTTGGGCCGCCCCGGAAGCCGAGACTGTGCACGCGGGGGGGCTGCGGGGCTCGCATGCAAAAGGGCGCGCCTCCAAAGCCGACCGTTCCGGCGGGGTGGCGTCAGCGCGTGTTCCAGCGCTGCTGGTCGCTCAGCGCGCAGGCCATAGCAACTACCTCTCTCCAAGAAACTGACCTCCTCTCCCCATTCCTCTTCCTCTCTAGGTATCAACCTGCACGCCTTGCATAATGCTACTTAGCGTCGTCGCCGCATGTGCTGGCCCGCCTTCTTCGTCTTGGCCCGCTTGGTCTTGGCTATCGCACAGAGTTGCTTCACATATGCTATCAGTGGCGGTTTGACTTAGCGTCGTCGCCGCATGCGCTGGCCCGCCTTCTTCGTCTGGGCCCGCTTGGTCTTGGCTTTCGCTGCCCTTTTAGCTGCCGGGGTGAGCACCCAGCGCTTCAGCCAGTCGTTTTAGAAATTGTAATTCGTGCTCCTGCTCTCAGCACTACGCCCCCTTGCACTAATACAACATCTTTGAGCCGGCGTCGCCATCGCCCGTGAAGTTGCGGCACGCCGTCAGCACGGCGGAGGAGGGTCTCGAGGGTGGTGCCGACCGGGCACGCGGCGTTGGGCGGGCACGGGGCGCAGTACCTCGGGGAGCGGAAGATGTTGTCCGGGTCGGCGCTCGCGTCCCGCAGGTAGAAGCCCTCCTTGCAGATGGAGCACGTGACTTCGCCGCTCTTGGAGCTGAGGGGGTGGGGGCAGAGAGTGCACAGCGAGAGGCCCTCGCTCGCCGCGTAGGTGCCCGCCTCGCACTCCTCGCATGTGGCGAGGAGCCATAATAATAATAACAATAGTCGCACCTCCCGCCGGTGGCGAGGAGCTATCTCCCCATATCTCCCCATATCTCCCCATATCTCGCACCTCCCGCACGTGGCGAGGAGCCGCGCGGCGAAGGCTCGCACGGAGGCGCAGCTCTCCAGGTCGAGGGCGAGGAGGAGCGCGCGTTCGGGAGGCGCGCCCGAGGCGCTGCAGGCGGCGCGGCACGCGGCGCGGCCTCGGGCCTGCTCAGCAAGTATAGCTCGTTGATGGACACAGCTTGCAAGGCGGCGAGACAGCGCGCCTCGCTGCGGCAGGCCAAGCTAACAGAAATAAGTATAATATAGCGCGCCTCGCTGCGGCAGGCAAAGATGACTGTCGCGCCGCGCTCCAGCAGTTGCTCCGCCGTCGCGAGCCCGAGGCCGGCGGAGCTGCCCGTCAGCGTCACCACGACTGTACGGCCAGTGAGTGGCGGAAGCGGAGGCAGAGGGATGCGGACGAGCAGGCGGTGAGTCGCGAGGCAGGCGAGCCCACCCGCGGCGCCTAGCAGGGCCTCGTGCCCAACTGCGGCCGGCGCCACACGAGAGAGGTACAGCAACGAGCCCGTGGCCACGACGGCGACAGCGGCCCGCCTGGCGCCGGCCTCGCCCGAGACGGCGCTAAGGAGGAAGATGCCCAGCGCGTAGAGAAATGCGAGGAGGCAGGCGGCTGCTGCTGGCTTCGCGGCGACGCCGAAGAACGTCACGCAGAGGGCGAGGGCAACGACGAAGTCGAGCTGCATTGGCATACTCTGGGAGTGGCAGTCTGGCAGTGGCCAGCGCGGCCGGGAAACCGAGAGGGGCTGGCGCTTCTTTCTGGTTTACAGAATTCGTGCTGCTCCTGGAATAAAAAATCGTTTCAGCGAGATGTGTCCCCGCTCGCGCCGCATGGCGCCTTACACATGCGGCCCGCATTTATGGCGTCTAAGCGATCACAGAGTCGGGTACAAGTACGCTGAGTCTCGAACATCAATGTCTAAAAAGAAAGTAAAAATGATTCGAAAACAGCATCATCACACGATCCTCCAACCTCTTTTTTTCGGCCGAGTGGCTTTACTTACCGCCCAATCGTGTCACGAGACGCTCTCTCCCTCCTCCTCCCTCCCTTGCGTATCGATTGCGCTTGCATCTCGGCCGCCACCTGCTCTTGCATCCCCGTCCTAAAGTGAGGTCGCAACACGCCCATCGCCCGCGCATGCAGCGCAGACATCGTCTCCGCCACCATCGCACGGACAAAAAGGTTGGAGATGCCATGCGCGCTCGTGATATAGTCAGCGCTGCTCGCCGGCATTGACGACGGACGCGCAGCCCTGCTGCTCGCCGGCATTGACGACGGACGCGCAGCCGCGCTGCTCGCCAGCATTGGAAAAGACGGAGAGGGACCCGACCGGCGGGGCGGGCGGCAGCGTTGGTTGCCCACTTCCTATACAGGTACTCGTTTCTCCAAGTGCGTGACACAAGTTTGCCTCGGCCGATTATTAGATTACTCTTTTTGGGCGTGCACCTTGATGAGAACGATTGCCTTTCGCGAGCGGTCCCACGAGGAAGACGCCATGCCGGCAGCGCCGCGCTCCGTTTTGAAAGTGTTTTCACGGCGTCGCGCCTTGGTCCAACTCTCTCTGCGCCGCCGACTGTCACGCACGACCTCCTCCGCCCTCAAGGCACCGCCTCAAAGCAGCCGGCATCAATGCAGAAATCTAAACTTTCTACGGCCATCGCCACCGGCCGCCTCCACCTGCTCAGCAGCTTCTTCGCGTTCCTCGCGGTGCTCAGCACGGGCGGCTCGACCGCGCTCCTCGTCAAGCTACTGCCGCGGGTGACGGCGCCGCCTCCACCACTCCCGCTGCCGCTCCCGCCGCCACTCATGATAACCGGAGGTTGCGCTCCGGAAAGCTCTGCCCTCGACAAAGTCGAGTATGTCGCAGTCGGCTACACCTTCTCGGGAGCGCCGTACTTCCGCGACGCCTCGTCGTCGCACTACATCTACTGGGACCCCGCTTGCAGTGGCACAGGCTCTACCGCCCGCTGGATCGTGGACAAGCAAGCACCGAGCACTACCGCCTCCAGCGACCTCGATGGCGACAGAGCATGTGCGTACTACGCTGACATCGACTCGGACGACTCCTCCTCGCCGCCGCTCGGCACTGCTACCTGGCGGGTTACATGCGACGGCGCATGGTCGGACAACAACCTGACACTGGCCGTTCTCTCCCCGCCCGCACCGCCCGCACCGCCCACACCGCCGCCGTGGCCACCGGGGCGCGCCCCGCTGCCGCCGCCCCCCGAGCTGCCCCCGGCGCTGCCACCGGCCGACTGCGATGCAGCGGAGGAGACGTGGAGGAAACTTGTCGGTGCCGCCGCTGTGCTGGCCCTCTTCTTTCAATATTTGGCCTACTTCTCGCCCCTGGCATCGCATCCCAAGCTCTTCCTCGCGCTCTATTTGCCCACTCTTGCCCTCTGTATCCTCACCATCCTCGTCGTCTCCCCGCTGGGCTTCTCGTGGCTTGTTCCGGAGCAGTGCAACTACGACCCAGAAGTGCTCATCCTCCTCTTGAGCTTAGTTCTTTTGCTCGTCCACTTCTGTCTCGCACCTCTGAACTACCTCCACCATTGCAAGAGACTTCGCGCTCGCATCGCCGCCATCGAGGGCGACCTGCCTGAGCGCCTCGCCGACGGCTCCCTCCGGCTGTTGCGCGTCGCCTGGCTGTTGGAGCGCCCAACGGACTGGGTGCTACCGCGGCAGCAGGACCTGCCGAAAGAGGCGTTTTGGGCCCCGGCCAACGCGACCCTCCTGCTGGCCGATGAGAAGGTCGCTGCGCTCTCCTACAAGTGGCAGGGCCCCTTCAATTCGTCCAAGGGCGGCGGCGACCAGCCAGACGGCAGCCGCTTCCACCTTAACGAGGTCCTCTCGTATTACCGGGAGGGCCGCCACGCAGAGGAACGGCCCGCCCTGATGTGGGACTTTGCCGCGATACCACAGCACGACCCGATAACGGGCGCGAAGCGTACCGCCGCGGAGACTGACGTGTTCAAGAAGGGGCTCGGTGTGATGAGCAACGCCTACGCCAGCCCGCGCGTCCTCGTGCTGCAGCACCGTCGGATCCCGCACCATTTGGAGCGCGAGCTGAACGAGATCTACGACGGCGCGCCTCCAGATGACCGCCTCGACCTGATCCCTTACGCCGGCGCCAAGTGCCGCTCGGGATGGTGCACGTCTGAGACAGCGTGCGCGCTGCTGATGACGGAAGGGGGCGGGCACGCGTACGAGCTCGGCGTCGGCCGTGTGCCGGTGACGCGCGGGCGGCTGCCAAGCGTGCGGCACATGGAGGCGCTCTTCGAGGCCGAGTCGACGCGCTTCATCGGCCGGGCTGATCGCGAGGCGGTGTGCCGCATGTACCTCGACCTGCGCAAGAAGCTCGAGGAGTATGATGAGGGGCAAAAAGGCCCTTTTGTGAGCAGCGCCGACCGGCTGATGACAGAGGAGGATTCATGTCGACGAATCTTCTGCTTGGTCCTCTTCTTGGTCGTGGCCATCATCACCCCGTCTGACATTTTAATGTTGTTCATTCCTTTCCTCCTCATGCCCATCCTCTGCAGCCGCATCTTGCGAGCCCACCTCGCCGCCGTCCTCTGCTGCCGCCCTCGCGACAGCCTCGACTACGCCTTCCACTGGAGCATTCGCAAGCCGCCCTTTCGCCGCAAGCCAGACCCCCCGCTGTCCGAGCTGCCCGCGTGCTTCCTGCCAACCGAATAGAGAGAGCCGGCGCCCAGCGGGTTGAAATCAATGAGCTCGATGTTCGCGAAGGTGCGGCTGTCGCAAGAGAGGGCCGCGAAGCTTGAGAGAGAGGAGGGCGTGTCGGAGCTTGAGATGGGAGATTCCATTGAGCTCGCCCATTATCGGAGCGTGAGGCATCGGAGCGTGAGATATCGCATCGGATTGCGAGATGGAAGTTCACAGAGGGGCTCCTGCCCGTGTCCGGGTGTGGAGATGCGAGGGTTGCCCCCCCCTGCACCCCGCCACTTTGATCTTGTGTGTGAGAGAGGAGTTTTTACCCCTTTAGAGATGGCACTTTGGATGACTTGGAATGGAGTAGCAGTAGGCGGCGGGCGGCGCGGCGCCCCCCCATCCCCATCCGCGTGTGCGGGCGCAAGTGTCCCCCAGACGTCGAGAGACAGACAGTGACAGAGAACGACTTGTACTGTTTGTAGAGTCTCAGCCGTCCCGCTTGCCCAGCTCGCCGGCGACGGGAAAGGCGGTGGTCGCGATGAACTCGTTCACCGCCTCGAGGAGACCGCGGCTCGCGCCGCGCACGACGAAGGCGCACTCCTCCCTCTGGCCCGGCACCAAGTCGTGGTGGTCGACAAGCACGATCCCGGGCGGGCTCGAGGGGATCACCGAGCCGTCGATGGCGTAGTACTCGGCCTGCGCCACGGCGGCGAGCCCGCCTCTGTGGAACAGCTCGTACAGCTCGGGGAACGTGTCGGTCGCGACGACCGACACGGCCGGCGCGAGCGTCTGCACGCGCCTCCGCAGATCGATCTCGGCGTTCATGCCGCGCACGGCGCCGACGCGCTCGCCGCCAAAGTCGCAAATCGTGGCGTACCTGGCCGACGGCCAGAGGGGGGGGGGGGTGAGAGGGGTGCGCAAACCGGCGACCATTTTCTCGGCTGCATCTCGGCTGCATCTCGGCTGTGTCTCGGCTGTGTCTCGGCTGTGTCTTGGCTGGATCTCGGCTAGATCTCGCCGGCCCGCGTCCGCCTCGCGGACCCGCAGCGCTCGCCGCTCGTACATGAACGGGTCGCTGAAAGCCGCCCCGACCGCCTCCGCGCGCCGCTGCGGGGAGGGGGCCACGTTCGTAGCGACGAGGTCGACGGCGCCCTCCTCCCCGGCCAGAGCCCACGACCCGTCGAAGGGGACCTGTGTGAGCAGAAACGGGCGAGCGCTGGAAGGAGATGTGTGGCAAGGACGAGACCCGTGGCTGCAGCGGCCGGGGGCCTCGACCCACCGCACGCGCAGACCAAGCCGCGACCCGAGCGCCTCCGTGTAGCGAAGCATCCAGCGCCTGCAGGCGTGGATGCGGCGAGCTGAGGGCGGGGAGAGGGCGGGTCTCGTGCCCTGCAGTCGGGGTGCATCTCCAAGGGCCAGAAGCAGCACGGCGCATGCGACGGTAGTGGGCGGAGGACAGCCCGTCTGGGTGGAGCACGAAGGTGGTACCCAAGTCCGCTGGGCCCGACATCTACTCTCTGACATCTACTCTCTGGCATCTACTCTCTGGCGCCTCGGGTCGAGAGGGTCGGGCACGTGCGCCGCCTCGACCGCCACGCGGAGCACGCCCTCCTACAGGACACCTCCCAGAGCGGCTCCCGGAAGGCTTCTGTGTGTGGTGCAGCGCAGCGCGGGATCACGCCGGCCTCGAGCGTGGACAGGCGCGACGCCGCAGCGGGCACGAACCGCGCCTAGTCCACAGTGGCGACTGAGGTGGTGTCTCGCGAGGCCAATCGAGGCGGGCAGCTCGAGGAGCTCGAAGTTGACCTTCATCCGGTGATTGCCTCGCCGCATCGCGAGAACCAAAGGCTGCGGGGCATACAGCATCTAGGGGAGCCTCGCTGGCACGGCACCTCTGAGCGGGAACCACCACTTGTACACGAGCAGCGAGCTCGCGACCATCCGAAGGCGCGCCTGCAGGAAGGTGCCTCCAAGCCCTCTCACGGGCCCCTAGCGGCGGCCTCACCACCATCCGGAGGCGCGCCTCGAGCGGCGGCGGCAGCTGCTCGACGGTGAGCTCTCCCTCTGACTGCTCCGCCTGCATCCAACCATCGACATGGCGCATTCAAAGCCTCGCCGGCGTGAGCTGCCCCCTTGGACTACGGCTGCACCTGCAGCTGCGTCGCCCGGCTCGATCGAAGCCTGTTCACGGCGGTCAGCTGTGAAGCGGCGCAGCTCGATGCGGAGCAGCAGCATCAGACACGCCCGCGGCCTCAGCCCGGCAGTCAGGCTAGCGCGCGGCCCCTCCTCGGCGTGCGCTGAGCAGCAGCCGCCCCAGTGCACAAGCGAGCCGTGCCTAAGCGGGACCCATCGACGAAACTTCTCAGGGAAGCGTGCAGGTCCGCACCCCAGTGGCGGAGCGGTGCCACGCTAGGGCGCAGCCGGCGTCGCAAGGGGCGAGCGCGACGGCGCCTGCAGGAGAGGCTCCGAGAAGGCTCCGAGGCGGTTCGTGGGAGACGTCATTGCGAGGCGAGGCGACGGCGCCGCCCAGCCCGAAGCGCAGTGTGCCGGAGGAGGCGTCGAAGGGGCGGAGGTGGTGGGGGTGGCGCGGCTGGTGCAGCAGCGGGTCGCGATCCTTGGGCAGCACGAACATGCAACCGTTGTCGGCCGTGACGCGGGTGAGAGGGCACCAGAGCGAGAGGAGGACGGGCTCGCCAGACGCGGCGTCGAAGCAGTCGGAGGAGGAGTGGTCGCGGTGCGGCAGGCCTATGGGAGGCTCAGAGAGGGGCTCCGAGAGGGTTCCAGACAGTCGGAGGAGGAGTGGTCGCGGTGCGGCAGGCCTATGGGAGGCTCAGAGAGGGGCTCCGAGAGGGTTCCAGACAGTCGGAGGAGGAGTGGTCGCGGTGCGGCAGGCCTATGGGAGGCTCAGAGAGGGGCTCCGAGAGGGTTCCAGACAGTCGGAGGAGGAGTGGTCGCGGTGCGCCAAAGTTGCCGCCCAAGTACGAGTGGCGCGCGATCTCCGAAGCATCCTGCGAGGCCGCCTCCCGCCGCCGCTCCTCGTCGGTGTCCTCCGCGGAGGCTGGCTTCTCGAGGGCGTGCGCAAAGACGGAAGGCTCGAGAACCAGCTGCTGCACGCCTACAGGGAGGGCTTCAGGGAGGGTCGAGGAAGGCTCCTGGCGCGGGGCTCGAGACGCAGCCTGCTCGCCGCGTCCGGTCCCGGCCTCCGGCACCAAAACATCGCCCAAAAGGCGCATGCACCGCTCGATGACCAGCCACGCCTCGTCAAACACGTACAGGAAGCCGGGCGCAAAGCCGAGCTGCTTGAGGCGCGCGAGCATGCGCCGCAGCGCGGAGAGCGTCGCCTCGTCGGCGTCGCCCGGAAAGAGGGTGGGGCTCTGCAAGTACCCTCGTCGGTCGAGGGAGCGGCGCAGCGGGGCGGACGGAGGGAGAGCGCCCGCGCTGCCACGGTCGGGGCGCATGACGTGGAGCCCGAGCTGGGCAGCCTCGTTCTGCCAAAAGTCGAGGTCGAAGAGAGACGCGGACGCACCGACGCACGCGTCAGCGGAGCGCTGGACGACATCCTCCAAAAAGGCCTCGACCAACACCGATGCCGAGGAGGGCAAATCCTCGTCTGCGTGGCGCCCGTCGGCGGCGGCCTCATCCTCGTCGCTCGAAGAGTCGACGGGAAGTGGCACGAGGATGTCGTCTTCGGCTCGAAAGCCACGCTGGAGCTTCTCCTCGGAGGTGAGCATGAGTTAGGTTGTTGAAGGTTGTTGAAGTCGCGCCAGCGCCGCGGGACGCCCAAATTCTTTATTCCGGGTTGTTGTTGGAAAATCAAAGAGCTCACACAGAATCACAGAGGGAGGAAAGCGGCGAGTCCCAAGGCTTGTGCCACAGAAAATTCTTCTTCTCTGGTAAGCGGCGCTTATACTACCCGCCCGGCTGGTCGATCAGGTTTATCCGAGACACGGCATCTCGGACGACACCACAAGCCAGTACTGCACAACGGGACATACATGTGGGTGCTCGCCCTCGCCGTCTCGATCTTGTCCGCCGCGCTCTGCCTGCGCTACTTTGCCCGGCGTGGAGAGCGGCTCTACGTGCTGGTCGTCGTGGGCACCTCGTGGTCGATCGGCTTCTTCATGTTTCTGGTGCTGCCATTCGACCTCGAGCACGCGTACTGCCGGCGGTGCCGATACACATCGGCGCACGCCGCGGCGCCGCGCGGCAACGAGACCGCCAATGATGTGATCGCGTGGGAGGATCAGCCGAGCGACTGCCACTGCCTGCCGCACCCGGGCATAGAGGCGCTTCCGACGCTGATCCCGGCGGCGTACCGCGTGACGATGCTGCTCGGCTACCTGATGAACGACCTGCTCCGCTCGTACATCAGCTCGGGCGAGTTCACCAGCCGAGGCCGCCTGCGCGACGCGCTGCGCGAGTGCGCATTCTTTTACGTCCCGTTCACCGTCGTCGGCGTCGGCTTCCTCGTCTACCTAATCTCGAGGCAAGGCCTGACGCTGACGGCGGTCCGCATGCTCGTCACCGGCCTCTTCAACGCGATCGGCCTCTTCATCCTCGTCGCCTTCCTCGGCTACGGGCTGGTCGAGGTGTCCCGCCAGCTGCGGCACCTAACCCTAACCCATACCCTAACCCTACCCCTACCCCTACCCCTACCCCTAGGTGCCCCGCCAGCTGTGGCACCGCGCGGACGGCATCGGCCAGCTGCGCTTCCTGCGCTTCAAGGCGAGGGAGAGCCGAGAGGCAACCCGGGAGATTGCCGAGATACGGCCGAGGCGTCGGGCAGATGCCGCTTCCTGCAGCTCGAGGAGATCAGGTCGCCGCCGGAGGGCTCATCTCTCGCGTCTATCTCTCGCGTGTATCTCGCGTCTATCCCTCGGGTGGATCTCGGGTGTATCTCCCCTAGGTCGCCGTCCTCTCGGAGGAGCTGCACGAGGCGAGCGGCAAGCTGGAGGAGGTGATACAATAAGATAATCAGATAATCAGATAATAATATAAGGCGAGCCGCAAGCTGGAGGAGGTGATCGAGGCCGTCCACGCCACCGACGCAGCCCTCCGCGCGGAGGCGGCCTCCGCCTCGGCGCAGGCCTCGCTTCGCCTGCAGGCGGGCTTGGCGCAGGTCCCATCCGAGCAACACTGTGAACGGGGGGGTCACTCATGGCGTCTATCCGTGGCAGGCGGGCATGGCGCGGATCCTCCGCCGCTGCCCCCCGCCCCAGTCACGCCTCGCCGAGCCAGGCGGAGGCTTGCGGCCTGTGCCCGAGCCGGGAGGAGGGGCGGCCGGCGGGGCGGGGCGGAGCCGCACGCACAGCAGAAGCAACTCGCTGACTTCCTTCATCGCCGGGTCCTCCGTCTGCTCTGCGACGGCGTCCGTCCTCCCCGCGGGCGGCTC